ATCTTATTTTAAAATCTTATTTGAAAATAAATGGATTGATACTAATTGCTCATGGTTTTTTTCTTCTTTTTTTGTTTTTCTAAAGAGCCTGGTTATCGCCAACGGTGGATTGGGTAACAATGTGAGTAGGAACCAGCTGCTCCCAATGTTAGAGAAGTGTGGCCTGGTGGATGCTCTCCTAATGCCACCTAATAAGCCCTACGCATTTGTGAGATACAAAACTGCAGAAGAAGCTAAGAAAGCCTATGTCACCCTCAATGGAAAAGAAATAGTGGATGATTTAGGACAAAAGATCATTCTGTACTTGAATTTTGTGGAAAAAGGTATTAATTATACAGGTGTCTTTTAAAAAAAAGTCGTTGGTTTTGTGTGAGTTTTGTTTCCTTTCTTTTCTTTCTTTTCCTTCTTTTCCTTTCCTTTCTTTTCTTTTTTTTGAGTTACTGTGAAACCAAACAGGACCTCAGTTAAGCAGCCCCTTTTTGTCTGACAAACACTCCTTATGCACCCAGTTTTCGCTGGGCATGGGGCCAGTCGTTGAAGGGATGTGGATTGGAGCTGGGCCTACCGCCCTAACAGTATATTTATTATCTGTGTTACTTATTTTAGAATCCTGCTACCTAATTGTGCTTTTCAAAATTTAATGTTGGGGATTCAGATTACCGATTTTATAGAGTCTACCCAGAAGCTTTCAATTAGTCGCTTAGGAATCAATTGTGATCCGAATGATTGTGTGCCAGGCTTGCCGTACGGAGGAACACCGTTAGCCACCGGGGCTTCCTAAAGCTCTACGGTGGCCGCGTCCGGCAGAACTTCCTGTGACGATGGCAACATCTGTACGTTCATAGCTGCACTGTGCAGTGTGATTGTGGGATTGAGGAACTGGTTTTTTAATTAAATTTTATTTAAGGAACTTAAATAAAAGCCTTATAGACCCATATACAGAACTGCTACAGAGATGATTACATCTTTTCACCACTGTCCCATGGAAATAAGATGTACTGAGATGAACTTGGATGTAGACATCTGGTCTCCCATTATATTCATTTGCCACCTACTTAGGCAACTCACTGTTTTGTTCAGATACCCCGGGAATGGGTAGTGAGGATAATCTGACCGAATTTATGTTTCTGTAAAATAAGACTCAGAGGAAACTTTTAAAGACTTTTTAAAGATATATTTTAGGAGTTATAATTCTCAGTATATGTATTTAATTTAAAATCTGACATAAGCCTTAGATTTAAAAAACTATGTTATCTCTGTATGTGTTTATGATCAGCTTTTGAAAACTGAGTGGTTTGGGAGTAAGTTTTAATCAGAAAGTATTGTCCTTGGGTTTTCCCCTAGTCAGTATGTAGAACGCTCTGTAAGAAATTGCACAAAGTGAGTTCTGGGGTGTTCTTTATTTGAAATCCCACATTAGATCCAGATGTATTTCCAAGGCTGTTGTTAGGAAATAAATCCTAATAGAAACAAATAGAGAACAAAACTGTGTCACAAATGTTTTGATACTGGTTTCGATAACTGCTACCAGAGAGCCACTGAGTAAGAAATACAAGGGGTGTTTTTAATTCTTTTTTTAAAAAACTATAGAAAACTTAAGTATGAATTATTTGTACTATAAATTGCCTGTCTTTAAGGAATTTTCCTCGAAGCTTTCCTTACATAATTTGAATAAGTAATATAATGCCTGACATGAAGTAAACACTTGGTAAATATTTATCAGGTGATTCACTATTTGTATTTCTGAAATAGTAATAAAATCTAGTAGACATTTATATTGTTGTTTCTGTGAATTTTTATGTTAAGTGATTCAAGGATGAAAACTCTTCAGCAGAAAAGCTTTAGAAATCACGTCTGTAGCATGAATGATGAGATCCCTAAATGTGAATTGCATTATTCCCTTTAATCATAAATTCTTTCTTTTTTTTCTTTCACAGCTACACCTATCTTAAACTTTGAAGGGCACAGGGACTTAAATTATTTTAATATATACCAAATAATTCTTCAAAGGATGATATTTTTATTTTTTTGGAATACTTTTTTTGTTGTTTTACCTTTTTCTTTTACTGGACCATACCTAGTATCAAGAACCTAAGGGCAAAAATGAGCATTTAAATTTTTGTATTCAGTATTTAGAGACGGTCTGGCTAGAATGGCAAACTGTAGATATTATGACAAACCTTGTTTCTTAGTGAGATTTAAAAAGTAGCTCAGTCGTGTTCAAATAATATTTAAGTAAATACCGTTTTATTTGCTGTTGGTAATTGTGGTGGATACAATGTACCATAATCTTTATTTTGGTTGGGGCACCTGGGTGGCTCAGTTGTTAAGCGTCTGCCTTTGGCTCAGGTCATGATCCCGGGGTCCTGGTATCGAGACCCGCATCGGGCTCCCTGCTCCACGGGAAGCCTGCTTCTCCCTCTCCCACTCCCCCTGCTTGTGTTCCCTCTCTTGCTGTGTCTCTCTCTGTCAAATA